GAGCTCCCCACTCCAGAGTAATTATGGTTTCCCTTCCTTGCCTCTGAGCCTTTGTTTATACAAGTTCCTTCTACTGGAAAACTCCCTTTCCCACCTCTGTTCCTCCTAACTGGCGAATTCTTCCTTCCTCCTGGAAGCCTTCTCTGACACCCTCTTCACCCCTCCCCCTAGATTGCTTTGGAATCCTACTGGTTTCCCACCGTGCCAATAGTGTTTGTTATACTGTTTGGGAACTGACAGCCCAAACTCCAGCTCTGGGCTGCCCACTCCCTTCTATCACAGAGACACAGTAACAAAGGATGTTGATGTCACTGTCCTTGGGCAACTCTAAGGAGGATCCGTTTAAAAATAGCCTGGGTAAGGGAAAGTTGCCAGGACCTAGGAAAGAGTTTGATCCATTCTCTCCTGATAGAATTGGGGTGAGGCATCAATTCTCCCACCACACTGCATCATACAGTAGTCTCCCCTTATACTCAGAGGATAGGTTCCAAAACTTTCAGTGGATGTTGGAAACTGCAGTTAGTACTGAACCTTATGTACACTTATTTTTTCAGTCTGATAAACAAGACAGCTACTAGCAACAGGTGGGTAGCATGGACAGCGTAGAAAAGCTGGACAAAGCGATGGTTCATGTTTTGGGTTTGTTTGTTCACCATTCTAGTCATAAGTACATACAATATAAAACTTATGAGTCATTTCTAGAACTTTCCATATTTTTGTACCACAGTTGACTTTAGGTAACTGAAACTATGGAAAATGAAACCAAGGATACAGGGGAACTACTCTATAGTGAATTGCATTTTATGTGGGATTGTTAACTTCGGCACTGAAACAAAATAGTTTATGTTCCAAATTCTCCTTAAATAGCTCTTCAATTATCCACAGAGTTTTGTATTGCAACCATACGTTAGTTTATCTCTTCAGTAGTCATTGACACTTTGTGGTTTCCAATTAATTGTCTTCTTTATGGTTTAGACCAAGTCATAAGTATTTTTTTTTTTTTTTTTTTTTTTTGCAGTTTTTGGCCAGGGCCGGGTTTGAACCCGCCACCTCCGGTATATGGGGCCAGCACCCTTTGAGCCACAGGTGCCGCCCATCATAGGTATCTTTTTGCCTGGTTATCTGACAATGTGCTTTACTTCTTTGTCAGCGATGGAGATGACATGGAGATAGAGATGCCAGATTAATGCGAGTTTCCCTTCCTACTTTCCTTCTTAGAGTGTGGAGTTTATAGTCATGGGAGATAGTCAAAGTATTTAACTATGAGTACAAACAAACCAGGTACTACTCCGTCAACATTGATGTGGGTCGTCAACGATCAGCCATGGAGTTTAGATGGGTACCCGCTGCTGATCAGTCTTGTCCCGCGGCAATAAGGAACCACAAGAGATGGCACATTTGAATGCCCTGGGATGTGCTAGAAAAAAGACTACAGCTCTTTTACAATTTGTCTGAAAGGTTTTTAAGGGCTCTGGTTGGAGAGTGGAGGGTTGACTACAGGAGCAGAAGACACTGGAGGAGGAAGCCCTGTTTGAAGGCTAAACATTAAAGACCCTGGTGTCTTCTAGGATTCATTCCATGTCTGGTGTAGAATAACCCAGCTCATTCTCAAGCTAATTGTACTTGTATTTGCAGATATATCATTATGTGGCTGGCCTCAGGCCACTGGAGAGAAACCTAAATGAAGGGAAGGGAACAAACGTGCCAAGTGTTTTGTGTGTTGCCTATTTTGACCCTCACTCAGGCTCGGAGGGGCGGTATCTTTAGGTTCATTATTGTGGACACTGAGGTTTTGGTTCCTGATTAATTCCTTAACAGGTGATAAGAAGCTTCTAGTCTAGCTCCATCTTGTTCCAGAGCCTGTGCTCTTTTTCTCTTTAGGGGTCTGGAATCCTTCTTCTCTTCAGTTTTCGTTTCCAAAGCACTTAGCATTTCCTGCTCACCCAACCCAACCCATTTTGAGAAAAACAACTCAAAAGTATATTTTTATTTCACACACACACACACAAATGTGACATGCAATACCCATCCCCTAACAAACTATAAATGCTCGAAATACAGAATAAAAACAAAATCCAACCAGTCCTGATGAGACGAAATTTGATTTCACAAAGTTGAAAAATCCGTTACAAAGTCTCTGTTGTATAAATATAGTCAGTCTTATTTTTAAAGTCAGAAAAAAAAGTTTTGTTGGCATAAAAAACTCCCTACTCCTTGGATACACCATAATCTTCATTTGTATTCCCAGCCAAATACAGGTGCTGACCACAGGAGGAGAGTCACCTGTGTGTTCAAGGACTCTAGGTAACCAAACGGGACTTCAACATTTTATCTCCTGAGCCACCCTCCCTCCACTAACAAACCTTGTGCAAACCACTGTAGCCCTGGGTCAGGGGCTAAAGCCTTCCTCTCATAGAAAATTGAACATGTGTCTGTTCTAAAATGGTGCATAGCTCTGTGAGTATACTAAAAGCCATTGAATTGTATGTTTTAAATGGGTAAATTGAATGGTATATGGATTATATCTCAATAAAGTTATTAAAAACAATCTGACTTGGCTGGGTGAGGTGGCTCACGCCTCCTACCACTCTGGGAGGCCGAGATGGGTGGACTGCTTGTGCTCACGAGTTCAAGACCAGCCTGAGCAAAAGCGAGACCCTGTCTCTACTAAAAATAGAAGAGGCAAGAGGATCCCTTGAGCCCAAGTTGGAGGTTGCTGTGAGCTGTGACTCTACGGCACTCTACCCAAGGTGACAGCTTGGGACTCTGTCTCAAAAAAAAAAACAAAACCAATCTGACTTGTCTGAGTTGCTGGCGTAACAGCAGGTGACTGATAGCATAACTAGGAGCTCCTGACAGGTCCAGGGAAGACCTGTAGAAGCCAGCACAGTAAAGGGTAGTAGAGAGGAGATCCATATGGTATTAAGACCAAATCAGAGGAGTCAGAGTAAAGTTATCAGAGGGATATTTCTTCCTACTCTTTCCAGAATAAGCTGAGGACCTTCTGTGGCTTTGGTCACAAAAGAAAGACATTGAGAATCTGGCAGATGCCCAGGTGTGGCTGAGACTGGAGCTCAAGAGCTATGTATGTGACTGCATCCACATGGCCACAGGTTCTGAGAGCCTGACTTCAACAAAAGGAGAGATAATTTGAATACCCAAAGAAAAGCTTCTAGATTTATTGAACCAAAGGGACCCCCTCCTATCACCGATGCTGTCAATGGTCAGAAGTCACAGCACAGCTCCAGTTCTCACTGGCTCCTGTAAGACCATTGCTAGGACAGCAGTGGCTAATCAGATAAGCAAACTTTTGGCAGGCAGATTGCTTAGAAATGCCATGTCCTTTCTCTATCTACCATCTAGTCACAAAATTGTCACTGGAGAAAGGGCACAGGCACAAACTATGAGCAACTGGGGCTTGCGCGAGGATGGCCACCCCAGTCTGAGAGTGAGGGAGGGAGCCTTGCCTCAAGTCTTGCTTCGGTTTTGCCATTCCAGGTGCTTGTAGTTCACCACTTAAATAGTTGGTATAAAAGTGGGCACAGAGGACACCCACTCTACTCACCTTACAAAACGGATGTTGTCAGAAACTAGGACCAATTGTCTTTTTAGTTTTTCAGCACACAAAGGAAATGAGAATTTGAAAAAGAGAAGGAAAGGGGCTGAGCGCCTGTAGCTCAGCGACTAGGGTGCCAGCCACATACACCAGAGCTGACGGGTTTGAACCCAGCCCGGGCCTGCCAAACAACAATGACGGCTGCAACCAAAAAATAGCGGGGCATTGTGGTGGGCGCCTGTAGTCCCAGCTACTTGGGAGGCTGAGGCAAGAGAATCGCTGAAGCCCAAGAGTTGGAGGTTGCTGTGAGCTATGATGCCACGGCACTCTACCAGGCAACATGGTGAAACTCTGTCTCAAAAAAAAAAAAAAAAACAAAAAACAAAAAAAGAAGGAAAAGGGCTTGAAGAGAAATATTCCAGTTTGCTTAAACTCTCCTAGCCTTACCTCCTCAAAGACTGGGATTCTGTCACTGGGGTGTAGCTGTGGAATACAATTCCCTTTTTGACCATCCTAGACGTTATTTATTCTGTGGCTGAGCAGGTAAGTTAGAAGCAGACATCACGGTCACCTTGGGGCCATGCTACAGATGCTCCGGGTAAAACCTTGGTCTCCCTGTGCTCTTTTGAAACAAGATACCCTCTGGGACTAGAGTACTCAGGACGGGGAATTTTCCTCACTGGTAGGAGTTTTCCATCTCTGTGTGTAACAGCCAATAAAATCTGGATTTGGAGATCACCTGGTTTTCTTTCTTTTTTTTTGTCATAGGGAGATAGTAGGAGGTTAAAAGAAAACAGGATGAATAAATAGATTAAATAGATCTTTGAGCATTTTCTGATGATTTTTTTCCTTGGAGCAGGGCTTTGAGCACTTTCTGATGAATTTTTTCCTTTGGCTTCAGTGAGAATATGTGTACCACTTAATTAAGAGAAGGGAATGAGGCACCTGGTTTAAAAAACAAAAAACCCTTAGTGCCTCTCTTGTGCTTATCAAGCCTTTCCTTCCCCGGGCCTCAGACTACCCACTACTGTCAGTTTGAGCTAATTATCCAGGAGCAAGGAATCCAGACTACTGTGAAAATTGTCAGGGAACCCAAATATCCCTCTCACCCAGCCTCTCTCCCAAAGAGATCATGAGCTGAGGGCATAGAGTCAGGAACCTCTCCCCAGAATGTTTCTGCCCTTAAATAAGAGGACAGCGGAAGTAGATTCTATACTTAAGAGAGAAATGTTTGTTTGTTTTTTGCAGTTTTTGGCCTGGGCTGGGTTTGAACCCACCACCTCCAGCATGCCCATGGGGCCAACGCCCTACCCCTTTGAGCCACAGGCGCCGCCCATTAAGAGAGAAATGTTTCCATTCCAGAGCGATAAGAATTTTGGCCAGACAAAGGGATGGCTCTGGCGGATGGGCCATTCGGGGAAACAAAATGCAAGCAAGGGAATAATTTACAAACAAAGTGTGGGTATATTTGGCAGGTTTGAGGCAAGCAGAAAGGAAGGTTTGAGTACTCTATAAAAAAACCAAATATTGGAAATTCAAAATTCTTCTGATAAGGCCACAATGAAGAGATTTCCAGCAGTGGGTGTTGCAGGATGAGGGCACCCAAATTGTCACAGGCTTGTAAAGTGACATGTCGAGGTGGAGGCGGGAGAGGCAGGGTAGTGCCTCTCACAGGTCCATGTCGGGGCCTCCTGAAGATGTCTTCAGCGGCACTGAGTCAAATCCATCAGGAGTTCTCTGAAAGAGAGATGGTGACAGGAGCTGGCTGCTGCACAGGGGCAAGTTTGGGGGACAAAGGAGAGAAGTGGAAAACAGGTGACAGAAGGAATCCTTATGGAGTGTCGGTTTGTCAGTGGCTTTGTGGAAACACAAAAATGAGAGACCCTCTATTCTTCTTGCTCCCCTCAGGGTCAGTCAGAGAATAAGAAAACTTAACAATCTCCTGCTTTGCAACTTTTCTGAATTTTAGAAGTCCCAGATTGACTCGAGAGTCCCAGGGTGAACTGTTCTCTCATTGGTTAAAAAAAAAAAAAAATTTTGGCTCGATGCCTGTAGCTCAGCGACTAAGGTACCAGCCACATACACCAGAGCGGGTGTGAACCCAGCCGGGGACTGCCAAACAACAATGACAACTACTACCAAAAAAAAAAAAATCACAGTCTAAGGAGGCCACGAGAGTCACCCCGGCAGGCCAGTGCAAAGGGAACAGATTCAGCAATCCCAACGCCTAGGCGCCATCCTTTTTCACCACCTGTACTCTCCTCCCTCTTTCCACCCTCCCCACCCACACCTGCTGGGATGACCTGGTTCAGGGCAGTAGTCAAGTTTGGGCACTGGCAGAATGGGGCTGCAGAGGGCTGTAGCCCTGGGGGCATTGCTTGGATGCTCTCTGCTGGCCCCACCCCGTGACAGAGTTGTCCCTTTTGCATTTATGAGCTTCACCTTCACTCCCCCACCCACATAGAGCCAACCCTCCCAGCTCAGAATTGCTCAGCAGGGAGCAGCTTAGACTTAGCTATGATTCAGTCCCCAAAGAACCAGGCCCAGACACCTGGGGGACAGCACCCTCCACTGGTCAAAGGAGAGCCCCACTTCTATCAGAAGTTGATCCTAGCGACTACCTCTTCCCCCTTCCTTAACCAAAGAGGAGTGGGGAGGATGATTCTTATAACATGGACAGTTCAATACTCCTGGAAGTTAAAAGGCCCAAACAGTCTACCAACTGGAATGCATGTTGGAAGAGAAGGAGCCTGGTCAAGGGCAGCCTTGGGGCCCACAGGAAAGAGTGTCAGTGTAGGAATTCAGAAGGCAGAGATGGGATTTTCAGATGAAGAAACAGAATTGGAGGAGGGAGTGGGGAGCACAGAGATGATCCCTGAACAGTGCGGGACTCATCATTGTTCTGGCAGCAGTGACTTCTCCAGCCCTCCATGCTGACTTCAGCACACTGGCCAGGCCCCTTACCTTGGAGGTAAATGATTTGATCTTCCCAAAGAGTGACTTCTTGCTGGTAAAGATGAGGTCATCTTCCACGTCCTCGCCTTCCATGATGGCACAGCTGTCAGCTGCTGGCAGGTCACAGTCCTTGAGGGTAGCATTCATCACCAGCTTGGAGTACTTGTACTCTAGTCTGTGAAACAGGAGGATGGGAAAGACAAGACATCAAAATGTGGGAATAAGGGGGAAGAGGGAGAGAGATGGGGTATAGACAGATCCTACTCCCATGCCATGGGTAAGAAAACTGAGGCATCACAAAATGGTGTAAGCGCTGGGTATATAGAAGGAATCATAGCTCCCACTTCAGTGATCTTTTTTCCTTAAGGCTAATTATTTCTGTGATCTCAAAGCTTAATAGAAATATTAAAACCATAAAGTCATTATTTGTATTGTAAATAATAACAAATGTAGGATACTGGCTAGGCACAGTGGCTCACGCCTATAATCCTAGCACTCTGGGAGGCTGAGGCAAGTGGATTGCTTGAGCTCACAGGTTCGAGACCAGCCTGAGCCACAGCGAGACCCCATCTCCAAAAACTAGCCAGGGATGTGGTGGGTGCCTGTAGTCCCAGCTCCTCGGGAGGCTGAGGCAAGAGAATTGCTTGAGCACAAGTGTTTGAGGTTGCTGTGAGCTATGATGCCAGGGTACTTTACCCAGGTGACAAAGTGAGATTCTGTCTCCAAAAAAAAAGGGTGGAATACTCTTTGCTTCACCTCTGAGAATCTAAAGCCATTATAGACTGCCAAATGGTACCACCCCTGTTCAGGGGTTGAATTAACCAGGGCATACACTGGCTATGTGGCCAACAAATCTCTGGCCAGAGTCATAGGCAGGGTCTATAGCCAACCTTGGAGAAAAGTCTTCTTCTTTTTTTTTGATGACAGAGTCTCACTCTGTCACCCTTGGTAGAGTGCTGTGACGTCACAGCTCACAGCAACATCCAGCTCTTGGGCTTAAGTGATTCTCTTGCCTCAGCCTCCCAGACCTCACAGCTCACAGCAACATCCAGCTCTTGGGCTTAAGTGATTCTCTTGCCTCAGCCTCCCAAGTAACTGGGACTATAGGCACCTGCCACAATGCCCGGCTTTTGGTTGCATTTTGGCTGGGGCCAGGTTTCAACTCGCTACCCCACTCACTGAGCCACAGGCGCTGCACGAGAAAAGCCTCATTAACGTACACCCTCACACATTCCCCTGCTTGATAATCCAACCTTGTTCGTCCCCAAACTCTAATACCCCATCACGTACTTTTGATTCTTTTTCCAAAAGTAGCAGGTCAAGACGGTGAGCAGGATGGCAGTACAGGTGCCTGCAGAGATGCCCACTTTCAGCCAGAAATCTATTGTTTTGCAGATGGTGACTCTCTGCTCAGGCAGAGAAATGCCACCAGAGCATAGCTTTGGTTCTCGCCACACATAAGTAGTTTTCTGTTGGAGAGGAAAACCAGGAACTCAGATTTCACATTCCCTTTTCTCCTGAGAAGTCCCTAGTCAGAAGGAAACCTACCTGGATCCCAGCCACACAGCTGCTGACGATGGCGTGGTAGTCAGCCTCCGAGCAGAGCGGGCAAGCGGCCACACTCTCCCACAGGAAGTGGAAGTTGCAGCCATCACAGGTCCCATCGGAGCACATGCTAGCAAAGCAGAAAGGAGGTCTGAGCTCTACTCGCTGGACCGTGGGGGAGATCTGATTGGAGGCCTTTGTCTCATAGCTTACCTGATTCATCCTCTCCCTACCCAAAATGTTAGCCCTACCAGGACAGGGATGATCTCCAATATCCCTGATGGTAAGAGGCCTTCCCACTCTCTACTTGTTTATGCTTTTGCTGACATCAGATAAGAGCTGATATAAGGTATCTGAGCTCTAACATGGAGCTGCCTCAACAACCCCCGAAGTTCCTGTCCTCCCATGGACATGTGGCATTTTGCAATAGCACTTTGATGCAGCATCCTGGGGTTGGGGCTGGGATCGGCCTTGAGGAATGAACTTCAAGTCATGGATATCTGTACTTCACTGTGATGTTCAAATGGCAAGAACAGTGCTTTTACACTTGGACACTACTGCCGGGTCAGGATGCCCTGCTCTGCTCCCGATATCCCCACAACTATCGCTTAGAAGTAGCATCTCTTAGACTGTCTTCTTCAAGACACTAATGCCCATGAAGATGTTAGGAGCTCGGCACCCGTAGCACAGTGGTTATGGCACCAGCCACATACACCAAGGCTGGCAGTTTTGATCCCGGCCCGAGCCAGCTAAAACAACAATGACAACTGCAACAAAAAAATAGCCAGGAATTGTGGCAGGTGCCTGTAGTCCCAGCTACTTGGGAAACTGAGGCAAGAGAATTGCTGAAGCCCAAGAGTTTGAGGTTGCTGTGAGCTGTGATGCCATGGCCCTCTACTGAGGGTGACATAGTGAGACTCTGTCTTGAAAAAAAAAAAAAAAGATGTTAGCTGATGCTACATGGGAAAAAAGGGGGGAGGCCTGTGGTCATATTAGTTTGGAAACTTT